AACTTTAGGCACGAGGAATGGAACCGTCTGCGACCTCACTTCCCCTACTGTACTTGCTGAAACAGCATGTGACTCATCACCTTGTTTCCCATACCCTGTTCCTTCCTTCCTGGATGCCACTAGGACACTGGCTGGAAGACTGTCTGCTACTTGGCAACTGCTGTTTCAAACAGCCCAGCATCTCTGCTTTAACTGGCCGCAGTGGGAGGCCGATGGGGATGTATACAGAAGGCACACGCAACAACAGCATGTGCAGCACAGCGGCACTCTCCAACATCTACAACTTTTAGAAAGGCAAATACCTTATACGTAAAGGCCGTGGCTGTCGAGTCAATTCTGACTCATAGCGATCCTACAGGACACAGCAGAACTGCCCCATATGGTTTCCAAGGAGCACTGGTGGATTCACACTGCTGACTTTCTTTAACTGCTGTGCCACCAGGGCTCCACCTTATCTATAGCAATATATAACTGACTGAAATGATTAGATTACTCCCCATGTAAGAGTGAAGCTATTGCCAAAACATCACAAAGCTTGATGTAATCTCCACTTTATACAGTGATTAGTTATACAAAACCTATCCGAAGCAAATGGTTCTGTTAGCTAAAAGATTTCTGAGACGGCTAAGTCTATGCCCTCCCCCTTTATAAATGATTCTAGCATAAACACTTTCCTAACACCAGTAAACAACAGTCTCGTGTGGTCATTTCAGCATGCAGTCTCTGTACTGGCCCAGGAAAACTAAGTGGCTTTCTCTTTTCAGTAAAGCTTCCAAATACATACACGATTAACCCTAATTTATTCTTGCAAGATCCTCTTCTTTTCCTTTAGTGGCATACAACCTAGCTGGTCCCCCAAGTCTGTGAAGTGCCTTGACTTCCAAGTTTCACTCAAAGCCAGCCATGCCCCCATTCTGGTGCAGGTCACACAGGGTGTCATGGTGTGGGATCCGTCCCTTCAGGCTCTGGGCACAGTGGAGGGAGAAGGAAAGGGAACGGGGGAAAGGCAGAGTATGAACCTAGGATGGACGTAAGGGGGACAGACACGTGGGAAGAACTGATAACCCAAGCAGTGAGGTGGGAACATTAAGTAATAAGGCTGGCATATCTCCTTAGCACTGAGGAATTCTCTAGTTTATCACCAACCCTCCCAGATGTTGAATATGCTGCAAATGCAGAAAGATCAGCAGCAATTCCAGTCGGTCAGCTGCTAAAGAACGTAACAGGCTTATTCCCTGTGCTGAAACCAATGCTTTGCCTGTCTTCCTGCATTGGGTCACCTGTGGCATCTTATACAGCCCAACCTCGAGCTACCAAAATGTCCCATCAGGGAATACCTTATGCACTGTGGTGAACACGAACATATTTCTAAAACCAGAGCTGTCCACCTGGTGACAGGTGGCTTCGGAGAACTGGGGATTTTTCTCTTCCCTCTCCAAATCCAGAATTAATCAAAACCAAACCCCACTGCCATCGAGTCGATTCTGACTCACAGTGACCCCATAGGGTTTCCAAGGCTGTAATTCTCTATGGAAGCAGACTGCCACATCTTTCTCTTGCAGAGCTGCTGGTGGTTTTAAACTGCCAACTTTTCAGTTAGCCGTCAACTGCTTTAACCACTGCACCACCAGGGCCCCCTGCATTAATTAAAATACCTATAAAATCACATTTAAAAACCCTACCACGTGGTTGACAAAGGATACCAAACCAATCACTCACCCTCTGAAAAAAAAAAGCCCCATAACTACTAAACGAGATTCTTGTTAAAAATTTAATAAGCACATCGTGGAACTTTAGAAACCTTTTGCTCCCCTCGAGGATACCTCTGAACAATCTTCTTCTCCCTCTGAGGACCTGCTTCCTTCACAGCACGTACCAGAATTTGCTATGACCTTGTTGGGTTGGTCACTTTTTAAACTGCCTTCCCCATTATTCGCCTGTTCACTCGATAAACATTTACTGAGTGTCTACTATGTGTCAGGCACTGTTCCAGGACTTGGGGACTCAGCAGTAACACAACAAATTAAAAAATGCCTGCTTCCATGGAGCTAATTTGCTAGCTGGGAGACAGTCTACAAATAAGTGAAGTGTATGTACCATGTTAGGGGGTGTTAAGTGCTATGGAGAAAAATACAGCTGGGAGAAGGGGTGGGGGGTTGCAGGGATGTGATTTGAAATGGGGTGACTGGGGAAGGTCTCCCTTGAGAAAGTCGCATTTCAGCAAGCACCTGAGGAGGAGAAGCAGCAGTGATCCATGCAGACATACAGGGAAGAGGACTCCAGGCAGAAGGAAGAGCAATACAAAGTCTGGAGCAGGAGTTTGCCCGGTTGGCAAGAGGAGAGGTGGTATCCTCTGGCTGGGGTGGTAGCACAAAGGGGACAAATGGCAGAAGATGGGGTCAGTGCAGAAATGGGCGGCCAGACCACATACGGTCCTGTAGACCACAGTGAGGGTTTTAAACTGTATTCTGACCACGATGAAAGCTATTTGAGGGTATTCAACTGAGGAGTGACGAGACTGGATTTCCACTGCCGAGAACAGACTAGGAGGACGAGGGCAGAAGCTAGGAGACCTGTTAGGAGGTGGAAGATTCAACGGCTTCAGACTGTCATGGCAGCGGGGCCAGTGGGGGAAGCAGTGAGATTCTAGAAACACTGGGACAACATGCTAGTGGATTTCACGTGCGCTGCGTGAAAAAGAGGACTCAAGGATGCCTCCAAGGTGTATGGCCTGAGACGCTGGAAGCGCGGTGTTGCCGTGACCCCAAACGGTAAAGAATGAGGGAGGGACAGGTTTTGGGAAGAGGACTGGGAGTTCAGTCTTGGAAACGTTCTGTTGGAGAGTTTATTTTGTATCTAAATGGACAGGCTGAGGAGGCATTTGGATAATGTGAGTCTGCAGTTCAGAGGAGAGATCGGGCTAAAGACATAGAGTCGGGAGTTGTTCCTGTAAGAAGGAACCGAACGTCATGAGCCTGAGTGAGATCCCCAGGAGACTGAAGACAGCCAGAGAAGCGTCTAAAACTGAGCCCTCCGACATCCTGCTATCTGAAGATCAGCGGCAAACAGCAAGGGAACCTGAAAAGGACCAGCAAGGGGCCCGAGAAGGGACCGCTAGTTTATGAGGCAGGAGGGAAACCAGGAGCCGAGTGAGGAAAATGGTCCAACCGTCTAGACATTCACAAGACTATGAGTCACTCACAGGAGGCCCGGGCTATGCTAGCGCCCAGTAGAGTGCCTAGCACATAGTAGGGCTCCGAGTATTTGCTGGATGGCTACCCAGAGATCCTTCTCCCCTCCAAACAGACAATCTCTCAGGCACTTTCTTGCTCTGGTATTCTGTCTCCTTCCTTGTGGTCCAGCGCCCTTTCACTATGTCTAAATCTACACTTTTATTGCGAGACAAAGAGAAATATTTTGCACAATGATTAACCACAATTAGTATTTCAGATTTAAATTTCAAATTCCCACCTCCTCCCTAGTTTTAAAATTAATCCTTCTTTAACCATGAGAAGGTACTGGCTTTTAAAAATGGCCTTAAGGAGTCAATTCAGCTCCAAAAGCAGAAGCTACGATGATTTGAGGAGAACCCTACGGTCAGGGAACTCTGTGGTCTGAGTGACTCTGGTGGGTCTTTCTTTCTCAAGAGGCCATACTGCATGGTAATTGCTCACATGATACAAAATCATGGAGTGATATAGTGAAAAACAGCACACTGCATTTTCGGATGTAAAGTCTTAAATTCGGCTGTGTGATCCTGGGCAAGCTGACCCATAAAATCACTCCATGACAAGGGCAGAGCCTAAAATGGCTTTTCTTTTCCACATCTATGCTTTAGAATCCTAGGGACAGTAATAACATGGAGAATTAAGTACTTAATTAATATTATTAAAGCAAATATAATAATTTCTTACCTATCACTTAAGGCACAGCTCAAATAACCACGTGGTGTGAAGCCCTAACTTTCTCCCCAGTCAGAACCACGGCGCCTTCCTCCGGCCCCCAGCACAGAGCTAGTGCGTTTTCTTAGTACACGTTTCTATCGTCTATTACTGTTAGTTGTTGACATGTCAGCTCCTTTCAAGACTGTAAGAATCCTGAGGGCACAGGTGCTGTCTTATTCATCTTTTTACCCTGATCTGCACCTAGCACGATGCTTTGTACATAATAGGATTTTAGTAGGCATTTAATACCCATTGCCACTGAGTCGATTCCGACTCATAGCAACCCTATAGGATAGAGGAGAAATGCCCCAGAGGGTTTCCAAGGAGCAGCTGGTGGATTCCAACTGCTGACCTTTTGGTTAACAGCTGAGCTCTTAACCACTGTGCCACCAGGGCTCCAGGCATTTAATAGGATATAGCAATAGGTCAAATTTATATCAGCCTGGGTTGGGTTCAGTAACTTGTATAATTAATGTGTATTTTACATTCATACTTACTTTATAAAAAAGTATAATTTTACCATTTTTTAAGAAGTTATATACTTTGCTTTAACTGTCATGATATTAAAATTTTATGATGTAAAATTATATATGTAATCTCTGTGATTCGAGTAGATAGGATTCTCATACCAAGAACAAAAAGGGTAAACTATGTATTATTAGTGAGGAATTAAAAAGTATTTTTAAGATAAGGGCTATTAAATATAAGCTCATATTTGATTCTTTTTTCTGAATCAAGGGAATTTTAAATAGGAAATAATCTTTTTTGTTAAAACACACATTTTAATGTCAAGTTTTTGGTTTTTTTTTCAATTCTACTTTACAGAATTTTAAAATTCTCATGGTATCTAGTTTCCCCCTGCTCCCTGCCCCTCTCTCTGAAGGAAAAAGACTCTGTATCTTCCTGAATGTTTTCTTCCCACGGCTGAGAAGATCCAGCCTACCGAAATGACATGAAACCGTTTGTGAAAATCACTATAAAGAATTAACAGAAAAGAAAAGCATTTCCTTCACAGTTGCTAGAGGAAAGAAAACCTGACGGTACATTGGTACTGACCTGCGAACGAATTTGGACGTTATTTTGCTGATTATACCAGTTGATGTCCCCCTTCTGGCGTGGGAAAACGCGCCCGTCTCATGTGAAGGCGAAGCAGGTGGCCCATTGTAAGCAGCGCTGCGTCGCTCCCGGAGCTGCTCCCCATGGAACGTGCTTCGGCTGGAGCTCCCTCGGGGAAAGCGGGTCCGGTCTGGAGTGGCGGCACTAATGCTGTGAGCAGACGGGGAAGCGGCAGGCACCCTCTGGGTTGTACTGCTGGGAGAAATTAAGATATGTTACTGATAATAATGACAGCGAAAGCTTTCACTCATGCTAAAAATTAAAAAAAAGGAACAATTTATTCCATTCTATTTTCTTTGTTCACATTAGGGATGTGATGCATGGGTTAACTGCATTTACTGTATAATCAGAGAAGGACACCATTTCAGTTTACAAGTAAATGTCTTTTATAAAAATTTGGTAACTAAAGACTAAGAAATGACTGAAGCAGGGACAGTCTCAGGGATGCCAAATCAGGGCTTCTGCATACAGTCTCACTCACTATTCTCTGTTTTTCCTCTATGGGTGATACTATTTATTTTATAAGCCAGTCTGCTATTTAGCTAAAAGATTATTCCATGGACTGATTTGAGTATCTCAGGGCAATAGTCTTGGGGAGTCCTCCAGTCTCAGCTGGTCCAGTAAGTCTGCACTTTTTAGGAATCTGAGTTCTGTTCCACATTTTGCTCCCATATATTGTGTTTCTGTTCAGAACTGCTGGTGGTGCTAGCTGGGCACCATCTACTTCTTCTGGTCTCAGGGTAGATGAGGCCATGGTCCACGTAGACTATGAGTCCTGCAGATGAGCTTCTCTGAGTCTTGGTTTCCTTCCTTCTTTTTTTACTCTGGATGCATAGCTACTGGTAGTTGTATCTTAGAAGACTGCTCACAAGCTTTTCAGACCCTAGACGCTACTCACCAAACTAGGATGCAGAACCTAAACTTTATGTACTATTTTATGACAATTGACTGAGTTGTCCCACAAGACTATGGTCCTAAACCTTCAAACCCATAAAACCTATCCTGTGACGTATTTGGTTAAATCTAAGACGTATCTGTGTTTGTTCCCCCTGTGTGCTTTACTGAGGAGCCCTGGTGGTGCAGTGGTTAAGCACTCAGCTGCTAACCAAAAGGTCAGCAGTTCAAACCCACCAGCCACTCTGCAGAAAACGTGGCACTCTGCTTCCATAAAGATTACAGCCTTGGAAACCCCACGGGGCAACTCTACCCTGTTCTACAGGGTCGCTATGAGTCGGAATCAACATGACAGCAATAGGCTTTAATGTGCTTTACTGTATATATGAATATATATGGATGCATACACTTACATACAGATACACCTACATATAGATGCATCTGTACATGTCCACATGTATACATACCTATACACTTGTATGCACACATACATACACATGTAACCACATTCATATTTATGATTTGTTGTTGCTATACATTCTCACTATTCTCTTAACGTGAAACAGGAATTTTACTGTTTATCAAACACCTTCTGAATAGAATAATTTTCCATGTATAATTTAGGGCTCAGTAATAGCACAGGGCTACGTGACACCACCAACATGACTAACAAACCTAACTATCAAAGGATTAGACTATTCAGATCTCCCTGAATTTGAGAAAACCTAAAACAGACAACTAACAGAAAGGCAGTCATGTAATTTTATACCTGGAAGGGCTCTGTGAGGTCACGTTTTATTGACAGACAGGAGGATTAAAGCTCAGTTTTATTTAAGACAACTAGCAGGAGCCAGGATGATTAAGAGGGTATCTGTATTCCTGTCTAGTGTTTTTGTTTTCACTGTTTATTTTAAATCCTAAAAATCCTAATTTACCTAAATGATAAATTAGGCAGCAATACTTTACTTTTTAGATGGATTTAAAATAAGATCCTTAGAGAAAATTCCTCTAGAGAATGGTTTAGACATTAAGCAACATTTTCGGTAAGAGACAACGCATGCTGTTGGTTAATGCTGTTATTGTTATGTGCCGTCAAGCTGGTTCCGAATCACAGCGAGCGTGCGTACAACAGAGCGAAACACTGGCCCGTCCTGCGCCATCCTTACAATCATTGTTATACTTGAGCCCACTGTTGAAGCCACTGTCTCAACTCATCTTAAGGGTCTTCCTCTTTATGTTACAATCCCGCTTTTCCTCTGCCACAAACACTGAATCTTCTAAGAAAGCACTTAATGTGATGGTGACATTATTCGTCTTCATTTGGGGTTATATTTTTAAAAACAATGAACAACAAATGAAATGGAACCAGCACGTTACCCGGGTCGGTAAGCTTCAGAGCTGTCTTTAATGGTTGGCAGTGTAACTTTAATAGGGTGACCGGAAGCGGACATGGACTTCTGGTGGCGAGGTCGAGCCGAGGGCACAGCAGAAGCCACGGCAGAGCCTGCAGAAGATATGCTGCTCGCAGACATCTCCGTAAGGCTTTCGACGTGAACCATGGAGAAGACCACAGAAACGTAGAAAGGAAGAAAAACGATGGTTTACTAAACTCTGAGAACCTGATTTTTAAAAACACAAACTGAGTGACACCTTTCATGACTGGAACACGTGAAAGAAATGGACAGCTATTAATGACTAATGAAACAATTGATATTCTCGTTAAAAGGGTTAACTTTTAACCTTTAACCCTATTAACATTTATCACTATCTTCCATGGTGAAATTATCACTATCTTCCATGGAAAACATTTCATACACACTTGCTCTAAATATGTGAATCTGAGAAGGTATGAGATTATTTTTGTGTATATATGATAGTTCCAGATAAAATGATTACGATTGGAGGCATTTTCCATTTCCCAAAAGCCACAGCTGGGAGTGATTTGTTGCTGGGGTTCACTGTCCATTATTCACACAGTAAGAATTCATCATTATACTAATAATACCATCTCTGGAAACACCACCAAAACATTCTTAGCTCGTATCATCAATCAACAGGTTAACTACTGCAGATTAAAGGAACTGAAGATTAGAATTTAGACTAGGAAAAACAAGTAGGAAATCAATTCCGAACTCTCTCTCTAACCTACAGTGTCTTATGTCCAAGGAAGAAACAACAATTACCTTCTTAGGCCTTACGATAATACTTACTTTCCATGTGTAGTACCTCTAATTAATGAAGAAACAAATGTGAGAATGTCTGCCATGCTCCTGGAGCGACCAGGGATGGAACTGAGACCAGGGCTGTATTAGACGAGGCTCCCTGTCCTTTTGTACCATACTGATGAGTAGTCTTTACAACTCATGATGAAAACAATTTAATTTTTTTAAATAATAAAAATAAATGTGACTTATCATTATTCAGAAGAAAACACTTTGAGAATTGTGTGGTTCTGAATGACCAGATGATATGGCTACACTTCTTTAGAGGAAAGAAAACAAACCTCATTATGTGGATGTGGTAACGACGCGATGTGGGGGGAAGGGAGGAGGAAGAAGGCAGCAGCGGGCACGTGAGAGAAGAAGATTCAAACTGGGAAGACCAGATTAGGATGGTATGCTGTGCTGTGCTGTAGGGAAATATTTACTACAAGATTCTATTCAGAAACTCGCAGGTGAAGACATTTACCTCCTGGTTTCCCTAAGTATTTTCCCATCCCTCCATGCTGGTAAAGAAGGGGTGATTCCTTAGGGAGAATGGGTGGCTGCAGTCTTACTATTTTGTACTTCTTTCCTCTTGACCTTCCAGCTGCAGGAGCTGCAGCCAGAGCACGGACGTAGAGCGATGATGGTGCTGTTGCCACCTGGCACCCCGGCGTTTTACCTGCTGTCTTTTCCATTCTGCAGGGCGGCCGTGTATCGGTCTGTGGTCCTTTCGCAGACATATGTGTTCCTTCGTGCCATGCTGCCTCCAGAATACACATTGTTCTTTAAGGAGGAAAAAACAATGTTAAACTTGTAACTATATTTGTAGCAAGTCAAAGAGATGTATTTAAGCTGCAAATGACTTTTGAAAAAAATCCACAGTAGAATTTTAATTTATCAGAATCTTATATTTAACAAGATCTATTTCCTGCCTTTCTCTCTCATTTAGATTTTAGGAGTAAAAGGCAAAGCATAACAAAACAAAACAAAACTCATTCCAGTTGCAGCTTACTCTCCTGCAACAGCAGCCAGCGTCATTCGGACGCAGCAAGAAAGCAGGGCTTCTGCTGCTACTCACTCCTTTGTAAGTCAGTGGCGGGGAGAAAGACAGAGGAGTTGTAGAGGCAGCTGTATGTGACGAGGGCGAGAGTCGGCTCCACACCAAATACCATCACCTAACAGGAAGCCTGCGCAAGGAAGATGGCGGGCCCACCCTGAAGCCTGTAGGTTGCCTTTCTTCACCTGCTTTAGGGACCCCACCACCAATGGAAACGTTAAGGAGACTTAAGCTACAGGGTCCAAGGTATGCCTGGCTGAGGCCACCACCTGAGGTGTGCCCAGTGTCACTCTGAGAACATTTCCTCTAGACTCAGATTTTACCTGGGAGGCAAGCCAAGTCCGAGAAGCTCTGAGGAAAAGGCTAAGCAAAAAAGGGTAGACAGGTGGGTAGATTCTCTTTACCATGCACACAACCATCGATCTATAACCCCTTTGTTGTGCCAGCCAAAATCTTTACTAGTTACTCATACTAAAACATGCAGGAATGGTTTTCATAAGGGATAAAACACCCGTCTGTTTAATTCTTACTTTGCTAGAAAAAATTTCCCTATTTTAGGTGGATTAAGGTTTCAGTATTCTTTAAAATACATAATTCACCTAAAATTTGTTTAATCACGAAGACTACAAAGTTAATAGGCATATGTCTGAATTAAATCTGGAGAAAATCAGCAAGTATCATATATAACCGGGACTGCCTAAAAATTAAATACTTGTGCTCATCAAAAGACTTTATCAAAGAGTGAAAAGACAACCTACGCACTGGGAAAAATCTTCAGGAACAATGTATCTGATAAGGGTCTAATCTCCATAAAATACACAGAAAACTTCAACTCAGTAACAAAAAGATAATTCAATTAAAAAATGGGCAGACAACACAAACCGACATGTCAACACAGAGGTGAAGCAGCCAACCAACACTTGAAAAGATGCTTGTGATCATCAGCCATTAGAGAGATCCAGATCAAAGCTACAGGAGATACCGTCTCACCACTCCAAGAATAATTAAAACCAAACCAAACAAAAAACAACCAAATGCTGGGGACGGTGTGGGGAAACTGGAATACTTCTCCACTGCTGGTGGGATTGTAAAATGGTACAACTATTTTGGAAAATGATACGGCGCTTCCTCAAAAAACTAGAGATAGAAATATCTCATGATGCAGAAATCCCACTCCTAGGTACACACCCTAGAGATCTAATAAGAGACATGGACAGACATAGACACACGTACTTTCACTGCAGCATTATTTGCAATAACAAAAAGATGGAAACAACCAAATGCCCATCAATGGATAAATGGATAAACAGAATGTGGTACGTACGTATAACGGAACACTACACAGCCATAAAGAATAGTGATGAGTCCTTGAAATACGACATGGATGAATCTGGAGAACATTATTCTGAGTGAAATAAGTCAATCACAAAAGGACAGATATTGTATGATCTCACTTTTATAGGAAGACAAGAATAGATATATGTATATACAGAGAGAGAGACCAACGTGCATTGGTGGTTACCAGGGATGGGTGGGGAGTGAGGAGGGGAAGCACTCTTGAGATAGTAGACATTATTTTTGATGATGGGAAAGGTAGTACTGAATGTGGCTGAAATGCACACAGCCTGACCAAGGTAAATGATGTCACTAAGAAGTGCACAAGAGAAAAGGGTATTTTTGGTAAAGGATATGACAAATATAATTGTGCAATGCTACCAACAACCAGAAAATATCTGTGTGGTTACATAAATATGTATACAGGCCATTATGTGTATGGGTATGAATATGTGGGTACATATGAGCACACAGATAGATGTATCATAGGCATATGTATATACAAGTATGTGTGTTCATGCATGTATATCCACATATATAATAAACCACAGGGGAACACAGTTATGGATACTTCTTAGACGCAACCAAACACCTCGCAAGATTGGTTTTCCTGGTTTAAAGGCTTAGGACCACAGTCTTGTGGGACAACTCAGATAATTGGCATAACACAGTTCATAAAGTGCATGGTCTACATCCCAATGTAGTGAGTAGTGTCTGGTGTCTTAAAAGCTTGTAAGTGGCCATTTAAGATACTACCATTGGTCTCTACTCGTCCAGAATGAAAGAGAAAGAAGGAAACCAAAGACTTAGAAAAGAAACTAATCTACAGGACTAAAAGTCTACATGAACGGTCATTTACACGAACCCTCATCTATCCTGAGACCAGAAGAACTAGATGGTGCCTGGTTACCACTACTGGCTGCTCTCATTGGGGCCACAACAGATGAATCCCCATAAATAGGAGAAAAATATAGAAGAGAACAAATTCTTTAAAACGTCCAGACTTACTGGACCAGATGAGAACAGGGGACTCCCCAAGATTATCGCCCTAAGATACTCTTTAAACTTTAAACTGAAATTATCCCTTTTAGCTAAATAACAGATTGGCTCATAAAATAAAGACTATCAACCGTGAGTAATGAACTCCTTAAAAAAAAAAATCTATATAAGATTAAATGGTCAAAAATTACTCTCAAGCAAAGATGAGAAGGTAAGGGGGCAGGGAAACTAGACTACTGGAAATAGTACAACCAGAACAGAATGAGAACAATGACCCATTGTAAAACGTGTAACCTGGTGAACTGTTCCCATAAAGATTACAGCCTAGGAAACCCTGTGGAGCAGTTCTACTCTGTCAGATACGGTCGCTGTAAGTTGTAATCGACTTGATGGCACAGAACAACAACAAAAATGTTTTTGGTCATTTTCTGTAACCTTTTCCTTCTCCAAAGAGTGATGGGTAAACCGAGTTTCTCATGCCTTCTGGATTCGTGATCCTCAGGCACTACCTCCCCTGCCTCGTCCCTCTGATGACAGTGACCCTTGGGTGCAGCAGCAGTCAGCCTGAAGTACCCAAGATGTATTGCCCTTGGAAGCTTAGGATACAATTATGCCAAAGTTAAGTTATGGAAACACAGCCTCACTTACTGCACTTGACGTAGGCTCATCCATAAAACTACCGTTTATAGTTGACCTTCCCAGTATAAATAAGCAAGTTCTGTGATTGCTAAATAAGCAAGGTTCTTCCTGTTTAGAATGAGGACCAGGTAGAAACCAGCCTTTGAGATACCTGAACTCTAGCCTGGCAAGTTCCCTGAAGTAGATCTAGAAATTTTTCAGCATTTCTCAAGCAACCAACCCTCTGCACTCCTCTAGGCTTATTTTATAGTAAAGTGATTATAATTTATGTAATTATTGCTGTTGTTGTTGCTAGATGCCATTGAGTTGGTTCCAACTCATAGTGGCCCCACATACAACAGAACGAAACATTGCCCAGTCCTGCACCATCCTCACTGTGTCATTCTATCTCATTTAAGGTCTGCCTCTTTTTGCTGACCCTGTATTTTACCAAACATGATGTCCTTCTCCAGGGACTGGTCCCTGCTGATAACATGTCCAAAGTACATGAGACAAAGTCTTGCTATCTTCACTTGTAAGGAGCATTCTGGCTATACTTCTTCCAAGACAGATTTGTTCATACTTCTGGCAGTTCATGGTATAATTCAACCTTTCTTATTCACTGTCCAGCTTTCACATGCATATGAGGTGACTGAAAATAGCATGGCTTGGGTCAGGTGCACCTTAGTCCTCAAAGTGACATCTTTGCTTTTTAACACTTTAAAGGTTTTCTGCAGCAGATCTGTGCAATGTAATGTGTCATTTGATTTCTTGACTGCTGCTTCATGGGTGCTGATTGTGGATCCAAGTAAAATGAAATCCTTGACAACGTCAATCTTTTCTCTATTTATCATGATGTTGCTTATTGGTCCAGTTGTGAGGATTTTTGTTTTATGTTGAGATGCAATCCATAATGAAGGCTGTAATCTTTGATCCTCATCAGTAAAGTGCTTCAAGTCCTCTTCACTTTCAGCAAGGAAGATTGTGTCATGTGCACATCGTAGGTTGTTAATGAGTCTTCCTCCAATCCTGATCTTGCGTTGTTCTTCATATAATCCAGCTTCTCAGAGTATTTGCTCAGCATACAGACTGAAAAAGTATGGTGAAAGAATACAACACTGACGCGCACCTTTCCTGATTTCCATGCAGTATCCCCTTGCTGTGTTCGAACGATTGTCTCTTGGTCTATGTACGGGTTCTGCATGAGCACGATCAAGGGTTCTGGAATTCCCATTCTTCACAATGTTATCCATAATTTGTTATGATCCACACAGTCGAATGCCTTTGCATAGTCAATAAAACACAGGTAACCATCTTTCTGGTAGTCTCTGCTTTCAGCCAAGATCCATCTGACATCAGCAATGATATTCTTTGTTCCACGCCCTCTTCTGAATCTGGCTTGAATTTCTGGCAGCTCCCTCTCGATGTATTGCTGCAACTGTTTTTGATCTTCAGCAAAATCTTGTTGTGTGTGATATTAATGATATTGTTCGATAATTTCCATATTCTGTTGGATCACCTTTCTTTGGAATGGGCACAAATATGGATCTCTTGCAATTGGTTGGCCAGGTAACTGTCTTCCAAATTTTTTGGCACAGACCGAGTGAGTGCTTTCAGCATTGCATCCGTTTGTTGAAACATCTCAATTGGTATTCTACCAATTCCTGGAGGCTTATTTTTCACCAATGCCTTCAGAACAGCTTGGATTTCTTCCTTCAGTACCATCAGTTCTTGATTATATGCTATCTCCTGGTATAGCTGAACACTGACCAATTCTTTTTGGTACAGTGACTCTGTATTCCTTCCATCTTCTTTTAATGCTTCTAGAAGGTATTTTTCACTATTTTGCCCATAGAACCCTTCAAAATTGCAACAGCTTGAAATTTTTTCTTCAGTTCTTTCAGCTTTAAAAATACCGAGCATGTTCTTCCCTTTTGTTTTTCTAGCTCCAGGTCTTTGCACATTTCATTATAATACCTTACTTTGTCTTTCTGGGCCACCCTCTGAAATCTTCTATTCAGCTCTTTTACTTCATCATTTCTTCCATTCGCTTTAGCTGCTCAATATTCAAGAGCAAGTTTCAGAGTCTCTTCAGACATCCATTTTGGTCTTTTCTTTCCTTCCTGTCTTTTTAACGACCTTTCGCTTTCTTCATGTATGATCTCCTTGATGTCATTCCACAACTCGCCTGGTCTTCGGTCATTAGTGTTCAATGCATCAAATCTATTCTTGAGATGGTCTCTAAATTCAGGTGGGATATACTCAACGTTGTACTTTGGCTCTTGTGGATTTGTTTTAATTTTCTTCAGCTTCAACTTAAAGTTGAATATGAGCAAGTAGCTATACCATAGTATTAACATCAAGTATTTTATATTATAATTATTGTAACATTCTTAACCTTTCTGAATCTTCCAAAAAGAAGTAATTTCTCCTTTTCATTTTGCAGAGAAGCTGATTAATACGTTTCTTAGAGGACACATCATTTTATATTTTGTACTATTTACATACATATGATAAGTAATATGGAAAACACATTTATAAGCTTTGTCTTCTTGGTTAAAAAATAGTGTAATATATTTATATCCTCAAACCCCAATAACATTTTGGCTTCCAAGTTTCCAGGCTAGTCAAGGGTTTATCATTAACTACCATATGTAATTACTGGATGGAAATTTCTAGAAGGAAAATATTAAATTCCTTTCTCTTGCAACTTACCTCAGAAAAAGTTCTATGTTCGGCTACAAACGTCTAACACTCTTACCATTTATAGTCTGTAATGGTAGTGGGCAATGAACAATAAAATAGATGATTTAGATAACTAGCTGACAACTTTCACCAACCATTGATCTATTTATCTACTTAAGTCAATACTCTTCCTACTGCTATCTACCAACTGGCCAATTTTCAGTCATATAATTTAGATATCATCTGCCAAAATCAACCTTAACACAATATAGTAGACCAATTAATGTTAAATAATGCTGTTAATTAACTCACGCTTACAAGAAAAAGCTTACACTATGGTTAAAAGAAGGCTTCTGATTTTATAAACATTAAAAATACATTAAACTATCACCTACTAAATTCTCTACGCATGTTATAGGTACGATTTCTTTTTTCATCAGAAAGTAAGGAGCCATGTCACAGTGAGTAGGCTGCCACCCCTGAGCCACTGGAGTAGATGAGATATTTTCCAATATGCTTCACTTTACTGACAGATAATGAAGTCACTGGTAAAAATGTGTATTTGTACAAACGGTCAATATTTTACAATTACTACAAAGTTCGGATTGTAAATGGCTCAGGTTCCTTCTACCTGGGAAATTACCTCAAAGAAAAGGTATTAATGCTGTATATTTTGGCTTTACAGTGGGTGTCTGCGAACTTTTTCTGTAAAGAGACGGATAGTAACCGTTTTAAGCTTTGTGGGTCACAGGGTCAATGTCAACAGCAGCCAGAGAAATGCAAATTAAAAACAAAAAGGATACTTACTTTTTTTTGCCTCTCAGTTTAGCAAAAATTTTAAAGATTGATAATATCCAGTTGTTGGTCAGTTTGTGGAAAAACAGTTACTCTCTAAATTACCCCTTTTGGAAAATTACCTTGGTAGCATTTATTGAAAACGTCAATGTGCATATTGCAGGGATACACACACAGCCAAACGCACAATTAAAACACATCAGAGTCAGTGCTTCAGGTGAGGGGAATGTATATACATGAAACAATGCACAGCTATTAAAAAGACTGTGGTCGACCTGGATGCTCTGATCTAGAAAGACTCTATAATGTTTTTTAAGTAAAGAATAATTATTGTTTATTTAGGGATGTATATAGGTGGCATCAAACACAATTAACTATTCCCATAAGCTGGAGATTAACTGTAAACAACAGCCCATGTGTATTTCTTTGTTTACCGTTCTACAGCCCCCAACTTAATTTTATTTCCCCCAAACAGCTGCTCATAACCTACAAACAAACATTTCTTTTTTGTCTCAGAAGTATGTGCCTTTGGCTGTGCCAACACCCCAGGCATAAAAGACCAGGTAGTTAGACTTGCCCAAGTTTACCAGATCTGGATCCCTGATACATCAGCTTCACTTGGAAGCTTGTTAGAAATGCAGACTCTTAGGGTCCACGTCTCATAGGAGAACATCTCAATCTATCTTCTAGCTTCCATCATATAATTTCTACAGTGTTCTGTTTTAATAATCTGAGTTAGCCTAATATATTAACCATTAATGAAGTCTGCCTTCATTTAATAAGTTATTTTCAAATTTAAGATTAAATGCACCAATACAATAATAAGTAAATATTACAGACAAGAAAAACGAGGTACCATTTTGTGGACAGTTTAAGTATGATTTTTAGAATTTATATTTTCTTTCCCATTCTTAAGTTGCATTTATGAAACAAAACAGCCAGAAAAGAAATAATGAGAATGTTCGCACATTGTGAAGACTGTAACCAATGTCACCAAACAACTTGCATAGGAATTGCTGAATGGAAACCTAAACTGCTGTGTAAACCTTCACCGAAAACACAATAAAATATTATTTAAAACAAAATTACACTTATGGGAAGCTTGGCCCCTTTTCCATGTTCCTTAAATGTATGATTCACTTTAAAACTGTGGAACCTCTTAATAAATGAAAGATGAATATTTTCAAAGGTTGTACAACAAACTCTAACAGCAAACTGGAATATGACAGGGTATTTACTTACGCTTGGAATAGCTGAAGATTTTTTTCTTTCTGGCCCTATGAGAGGGCTTGTAGTCATCTCGCTTTTTGATCCGACTGTTGTGCTGCCAAGTTTACGAGCCACATCTTTGTCCCATTCCTCTTTGTGTTCACTTTCCACACTGTTAGCCTGTGGCCTTTTGGTATATGACACAGCAGGGGGAATGGTTGGGCCCGCTATAGCAAAAAATAACAAAATTAGCTGAAAAACTGACATATTTTCTTCTCACGCACAAAAACTCTGTATTAAAACTATCTATATTTGCATATTTTACACTCTGCACTAACAGTAAACTGTTCGATCACTAAGACTAAGTCAGTTCCTGTAAAAAGCCTTTACGTTCATCACTCAACAATACAAATCTGTGATAGGCACAAATACACACACAGAGATGGAATCTGTAACCCTTAAAAAATCCAAGTTATTCATGTATTTGGATTTTCTCCGCACCGTGATCGCTAAAACGTCGTTGCTTCTGATTTGCTGATATGCTTCGCTGGACCTTCAGGTGAGCAGGGGACTGAAGGGTGCTGTTGTTTAAGTCGCTGCTGGGCCGCGACCTCTGACACAGGTTTCCACTGGATAAGGATTCACCTCCTTCAAACTATCGGAAGACAGATCACCAAGATTTTAAAACAAACGTTTATATAAACAATATGCATTCTTGATTTTCTAATCTATTCCAAGCTATACAAGTAATAATCAAAATTTTAAAAAATACACAGTTTTGGATACAAACTTCAAGTTGGCAAGGAGGAAGGGAGGGAATTGGATACATTTCAAGCTGTCTTGTACACATTGCACTGGATGCCTAGTTTAGTCAAAACACCAAGTAAGGGCTACCGATTATTGAATGATTATTATTTACCAGGCACCAGGCTAAGTTCTTTACCCATGTTACTTTACTAAATCATTGTAACAAACCTCCTGTGTATTAACCTGTACTTTACAGATAGAAAATGAGGTGTAAAGAGTCAAGGTACGCTGTTGGGGTTCACACTCAGGCATAGCTGGGATTCAAACCCAGTATAAAATCTAAAATTTTAAACTTTTAATGACAAATATTTGTTTTTTCCAGGACATTTACCAAACAAAATTTGGCGTATTGGCCCTGATGAGGAAATTGCATTAACCTAGAATTTAGTGTGGTAAAATGAGGGTTGAGACACCACCCCTTTCTCTCCGTAATCCAAAAGCAGTTTGTTGCCAGCAAACTTTTCACTGAATCACTACAATCCCAATGGAAAATTTAAATTTATACATAAAGCCGCTGCTGCTGAGTCCATTTCGACTCATTGGGACCCTATAGCACAGAGTAGAACCGCCCCATGGGTTTCCAAGGCTATAATCCTATGCAAGCAGACCGTCACATCTTTATCCTGTGGAGTGCCTGGTGAGTCTGAACTGCCAACCTTTTGGTTCACAGCCAAGCGCTTAACCACTGCACCACTGGAGCTCCTTAGAAATTCATGCATAAGTGATACTAAAGATATATGGCAGAGTAATGTTGATAATGATAATTCTAATAGATAACAGCGAGCACAGAGCACATGGTAATGTGCCAGGTAATATTTTAAGGACTTTTACAAGTATGAATTCATGTAATCCTCTCAAAGACAATTCTGACAAGTAGGTGCTATTATTATCCTCATTTCTTAGATGAGGAAATTGAGGTACAGAAAAGTCACTGAAGTGCCTACGTAGCACAGTTAGTGTCTGCACTGGGGTGGGAGTGTGGGGTTCCAATCAGGTTAACCTGGCTCCAAAGGTCAGGCTCTTAACTGTACAATAAATACACTAACACTGTAAGGCTTCACTAGTTTACATTCAATACAATTCAAATTTCATTACAGTTCATGCAGGGGCTGGGCCGTACAACTTGTAAAATTAGTGCTTCCTTTAGACTTTAGAAATTACCATTTGTACTATTTCCCACTTCTTAAGATTCTCTTGACTTGGCTTCTTTGATATTATTTCTCAGGCTGTTGGTGTCCCCACTGAAAATTCCTCTCCCACACTATCACCCTAGCACCTACCTCATGGGATCAGTGAGAGGGTTAAACCAATCAACACAGGTAAAGTCCTCAGGCTATTCCTGGCACATTACAATGTGCTGTGTGCTCCTCTGACAGGGACTCCCAAATCTTAATTCTATTCAAATCTCTCCCTTCAAATCCAGATCTTCATATCCTAAGGTCTACCAGACAGCTCCATTCAACAGGAATCTCACATTCTACCATCCTAAATCAAACATGCCACCTTCCCACTGAAATCCACTCCTTTCCTATCTTGGCAAATGCACCTTATATAACCAGTCACCCTCACTAGAAATCTGAAGTTCTCTCATTTCTAACAGGTGACCTATCACTCAGGTCCACCCCTACCCCTGACCTGGTCTGCTGTAGCTGTTCACTGTGTAACCCCTAATCAAAGCATGTATCAGACAGTACCATACAAATGGGTGCCCAGCTCTCCTCTAGCCTGAGGGCTCCTTGAAGGCAGATATTTTCCCATCTTTCTTCTCACAGTACTTAGCATAGTTCCTAGTACATAGTAAAGCCAAACCTACTGCCATTGGGTAGATTGAGACTCATGGCAATCCCTCGTGTGTCAGAGTAAAATGTGCTACATAGTGTTTTCAATGGTTCAATTCTTGGAAGTAGTTCGCTAGGGCTTTTTTCTAAGGTGCCTCTGGGTGGACTCAAACCTCCAACCTTTTGGTTAGCAGCCAAGAATGTTAACCGTTCACACACCTCAGAGACTCAAACGTCAGCTCAATGTACTGCTTCATTAATTTAAAAAAAAAAACAAAAACCCAAACTTCTTGCCGTTGAGTCGATCCTAACTCATAGTTACCCTGTAGGACAGAGTAGAACTGCCTCATAGGGTTTCCAAGGATCATGGTGGATTTGAACTGCCGACCTTCTGGTTAGCAGACGAGCTCTTAACCACTACACCACCAGGGCTCTGCTTCACTAACAGTTACTATTTAACTATAAATAATCTCAGCCTAGTCTATAAAATATCTCCCACAGATGTCTAAATGTCAACAAACTGCCAACGGCTCTGTTCTTGAATCCAAAATTATACCCCTTATATGTGTTTCCCCAAAGAACCATCTGCTTTTATGGTTCGATCTCTGTATAGTTATTTCCCAAATCCTTATACTAGATCCTTATTACAGAACCTTGGAGTCCGAGTTGTGCAAACAGTTAACACTTGGCTGCTAACCGGAAGTTTGGCTCTTTTGAGTCCACTCAGAGGCTCCTGAGGACTATGCCACTGAAGCTATCTACTTGCGGTACTTCTGTCAGAGCAGCACTAGATGACTAAGACAAAATTTGGTACCGGGAAAGCGGGGTGCTGCTCTAACAGATACCTAAAATGTGGAAGCAGTTTTGAAACCGTGAGTGGATAGAAGGCCAGCAGCAGCAGAGATCCGGTAGCAGCAGAACCAGGAGACCAGTGCCAGACAGCACTGGAGCCGACCCATGGAGCGAGAGAGCTGAGTGCCTTCGCACAGGAGGCTTCCTGTTGGAGGCAGGTGCCTCCACGGCACTTATCAGTGGAGCTACTGAGCTTTGGACACTTGGCTCAGTAGGGCAGATATGGGCATGAGGTCCGAGGGGTCAAGAGGCCAAGGAACCAGGAAGCAGAAGCTGAAGAGACAAGGAACACAGGAAGCTGAGCTGCCTCAGTCTCAAAAGGTATGGCCAGAACCTCTGGGGTTTCAAAGGGTAGAGTCATGGCCTCTGGTGTTTCTAAGGGTGGAGTCGCTGCTCAGATGGACTAGGAGAATGGTGCGCCTAAAGCCTAGGGAACAGAGTTGCCATTCCAGTGGGCCTGGAAGGCGGAGCTGCAGCCCAGGGCCAAGGGGCCTCCGCTCAGAATTCGGACTGTGGCCAACACCTAGATTCCGGAGGACAGGGCCATTGTATAAATGGTCTCAGAGAACACAGGATTATTTTCAAAGCCTTGTAGGCTAATGTAATGCTTTCTGCGGACTTGCTTGGTGCCTGTCATGCCTTCTTTCCCTCCGGTTTCTCCCATTTGCAATGGAAATGTCTAGCGTGTGCCTGTTCTGCCATTGTACTTTGGAAGCAGATAACTTGTATTCTAGATTTCACAGATGAAGAGGAATTTTTGGATTTTGGACTCGGAGTTGATTTAAGACTTTTGCTATGATGTAACGGGATGAATGTGTCTTATATGTAGCAAGGACATGAATTTTGGGGGGCCAAAGGGTGGAATGACATGGATTGAAGTGTGTCTCCCCAAAATATGTGTCAACTTGGTTAGGCCATGATTCCCAGTACTGTGTGGTTGTCCTCCATTTTGTGATCTTCCTATGTGATATAAATCATATTCTCTGCCTGTGGTTAAAGAGGATTATGGTGAGATTGTAACATCCTTGCTCAGGTCACATCCCTGATCCAGTGTAAAGGGAGTTTCCCTAGGGTGTGGCCTGCACCACCTTTTATCTTACAAGAGATAAAAGGAAAGGGAAGCAAGCAGACAGTTGGGGACCTCATACCACCAAGAAAGCAGTGCCAGGAGCAGAGTATGCACTTTGGACCTGGGGTTCATGCGCGGAGAAGTTCCTAGTTCAGGGGAAGATTGATGACAAGGACATTCCTCCAGAGCTGACAGAGAAAGCCTTCCCCTGGAGCTGAGGCCCTGAATTTGGACTTGTAGTCTACTAGACTGTGAGAGAATAAATTTCTCTTTGTTGAAGCTATCTACTTGTAGTATTTCTGTTATAGCAGCACTAGATGACTAAGACGCCCATTATTTGTGTTTCCCCAAAGAACCATCTGCTTTTAAGGTTCAATCACTTTTGTAAACAACTGTTCCCCAAATCCTTATAATAGATCCTTATTACAGAACCTTGGAGTCCCTGAGTCATGCAAACAGTTAACACTTGGCTGCTAACTGAAAGGCTGGCTGTTTTGAGTCCACTCAGAAGAAAATCCTGGAGATTTGCTTCTGAAAAATCAGCCTTGAAAGCCCTATGGAGCACTGCTCTACTCTGGCACACATGGGGTCGCCAGGAGTCAGAGTCGACTCCATGGCAACTGGCCTATTATAGATCCTTATTATGGATTTCTCCTAGCCTCAAGAATTCCAAATCAGATGTATCAATGCCACCTGACACTACAAGGTAAATTATCACCAAACAACCTTTTCCTGAGTTTCCACCTTTATAAGTCATTTTAGACATGCATTTTATTGCAAATGTTGTCGTCCTCCTTATTTCAGTCACTGTCTTTCCTGTGCCCACAGAATAAACATATTGCCTTTGGCAGGGCTGCTGCATTTGGATATACGACCCATTCGAATGGCGACCCTTGGAGCTAAGCAAGGCAATAGCTCTTTCATGAGAAAATAAATATTATAAGAAATTTAAACATCTTGTGATCTAATTTCTCTTGGTATTCAAAAATGAGATCACTTTGTAATTCCTGATGTTTGAATTCCAGTAAAAAAGAATGTTAGGGTCTTGATGTTGTATTTGAGACCACAAAGAACAGAATGTATTTGCTAACATTATATCTTATACCTGGCTGTCACTCAGCACGACAAGAAATTTACATTAATTTAAAAAGAAGAAAAACTTACTTCAGGTGGTTTTCTACCTAGAAGAATATAAGTAGCCATAACTTCATCGTATTTTTGATTTATTAAGGCGTCATTTATCTCATCTCGTGCAAAACCCATGGTGACCATGATATCTAGAAATAAAACAAAACACAAATTTTTCTAAAAATGGGTTTTATTTTAGTAAACAAGCCAACAAAAAATGGGCATGTATGCAAACATTAGCTATGAAAACTAAGTCCTGAAAATATAATTTTAATTATAACAACTTCTGGAGTATTAAGATACCGATACTGCATAGTCATTGTATGTTCACAATTTCTCATGCAGAAATCATCTGCACTGCGTGTTCAATACTCATGGGCCCATTTCACATCGATTGCCTAGCATGTTCCTGAGCTGACTCTTTGTCCAGCCAGAGCCACAGTATGTGTTTATCTGTGACACACACAAAATCTCTCTCTGGTAACAAATCCACAGCCACTCATCAAGTGACTCCTCTCTTCTCTTAATTTCTAGTTTCTGATCTGCAGGCAAGTTGATTCTTCTTTGGAGGGTGTAAATTCCACAGTTGTTCTTCTGATCAGGTTTATAATACCCTAACATGCTCCTTGCCTTCCACTCTGCCCTCAAGTCAGACAGGAGCACAGTTGAGATGACTCGTAGCTTTCAGTTTCTGATGGCTTTGGGAAGGGTGAGAGAAATGAAGAGAGGGCTGGAAGCAGAGGACTGGCTAGGTAGGGGCAGGAGCTGAACTAGTTGGGCAGGGAGGGTGGAACCTGTTAAGACAGTGGAAATAGAGAGGGAAGGCCAAAGGGTCCCTCACTTTCAACTCAGTGCTTCTAAACTTCTGATTAAAATACACGCCCCTTTGCTGGTGCTTGTATCAGTCCTATCTTTCCATGAGGAATCACTAAAAGGAAAGTATACAGTCTATCCCCACAGTATTCTACTTTTTATATCATTGTTGCCAACAATCGAATTAGATGGTTATATGTATGAGAACAAATTAAGGAACATGGAAGTTGTAATGTTTAATGCATATTCAGGAAAAGATGGCAATGTAAGTATTTTTCAAATAAAAATTGCTTCCTATTTATATTTTTAAACACTATTTTGGTAGACTAAAGGACTCTTACTCACAGCCTAGGGACAGCACAATTCACAATACTTAAAATACTTACCTATTCTTTTTGGGTCATTGAAATCTGGTTCAGGCTCAGAATATGGTTTTAGTTCTTCCTCTTCATGACCAACATTCATCCATCGATCTCTCATTATTTGCTAGGAAATAAACTCTACATTATGTTTGGTCAATCAGAACATTCAGCCACTTACTTTTGCTAGTTTAGGAAAAGTGAAATTCATTGGTTCGCTCAACAAGAAATCATGTGACATTTTCAAACTGAAGTTACGATTTTCAGTTTGATTAGCAGGCCAATAAGGGACGTTGTGCATTCTTAGGTATCTTATGACAACTCCTATTATCAGTCCACACACTCACCAAATAAAAGTAGTCTGCCTCCCACATTCCTTTGAAAGGAGTATTTTCAAATTTGAAAACCTACTGATTTGAACCTCTGCTTCCATTGTATCTTTAAATTTAAGATTAATGAGATTATCCTTTTTTCCTGGTCTGCTACCAAATACGTGTCTGTTTTTTAAAAATCATCACTGACTAAAATATCAGGAAAGGAGAACATGGGGAATAGAAATCAGGGTTAGTCTGTGAGTAAAGTGGCTCAGAGAATATTGGGGGAGACGTCAAAACTGAAGCGAGGGCCAGGACAGGTAACAGTCAGGGAGGAAGAACTCAGATTCAAGCTGAGGCTGTATAACAGCCAATTCTGGGATGCTTACAGGCAGCCTACTGGCCACCTTTAACACACTCACGGTCAGAAAATCAGAGAACTGAGAGCCAGGGACCTTCGGATCTAAGGATAAAATTATGTGTATGATAGAGAACCTGAGCTTTTAATATTTAAAGAGAAACATATTTGAATAATTCTGTATTAATTTAGAAAGACTGCTAACTTTCCTTGAACGCTGGAATTCTGTGCTTTCAGTGTAAGTACACTCTAGGTGCTGATACTTTAGTCCTCTTTCTCCAGATTCTGAGTATTTTCCATCTCTAAACTTTATTCTCCAATCCTATTAATTAGAAAAATAATCTTCCACGTACAGATCTTCATGAGGCTAACTCTTGACTGTCCAGATTATCTTCCCCCTCATTACCAATATTTACCCAACGTCAGTCACTAAAAAACAAGAACTCCACAGGAGATTTCTAATAATGGGGGATCTGGAAGAATATTGCTGTGTTGGCCGGGAAGTTTTTTCCAAAGGTATCCATCACACGATACGTATTTTAGTCATATGCTTACAAATATGATTATGTAGACATTTAGCTCTTAAAAAAAGATTGCTATTAGCTTTATTTCATATAGCCATTTTGGGCAATGGTAATTTAAGTTACATTATCTGACAAATTTAAATAAAAGTAGACCCAGTAAAAAGAAAACATAATAATGCTACCACTAAGTCCTTAGTGATTATTCATCAATATGGAAAAAGTGGTGGGGATGGTGCACATCAAGAAAAAAAAAAAAAAAAAAAAAAAAGGACAAAGCAGAGCTGCTATATGATTTTCCCAAAATATTAAGGCCCTTCCTGTTCCTCACCCCCGCCCCCATCAAAGAATATGTCTGACAGAAGCTGAGGCAAGGATCAAGCAACAGCATTTGCAACAGTAAAATCTCACTGGCTGGCAAAATATCCTAGGATGGAAGGTGAATACGTAAAAATCCTCAGAGAATATAGTGACCCTTAGGGACAGTTAAGCAGTACAGACAGTTCCTCCCTCAAGTGTCATGGTCTAATCCAGCCCACCTACCCCTGACAACTTTCCTTATTCACTTCCACAGCTGGATGCACAAGCATAGTTACTTAGGCTAATATGGAGGTAGTAGCTCAGTTAATGCTCGACAGAAAGTGAAAGCCTTTAAACATACATAAAATAACTCCACATCAACCCCCACCCCAACACACACCAATACAAACAAAGGAACCTAACTGCCCTTTCATCATCACCTATAAACGTTACCTTTAAACCGGAGCTCTGGATGTTTGTTGCTATTATTGTGACAAACAAGACTGAGCAAAGAAGAAACAACCAACGTAAGATCGACACAAATCCAAGACCAGACAGATGCTGCTGCTTCAAAGCAACCCAAACGGAGTCCTTAGTAATGCTTCTGAATTTAAGATTACAATTTTATGAGTTTGAAAATAATGATTAATGGGAATGAGATGTATATGGAGTGGAAATCTAAGTAAGCGAAAGGTTAGATTCAGGAAGAATAGCTAAGAGTTGACCAAGCAAAAAGGAACTGGGAGTGAGGCAAAGCAGATGAGCAAAGCAGGCAGATGGAGGAGCAGGTGTACAGAGGCCCAGGGGCAGAAGCAGCAGGCACAACAGGGGACTGTATAGCTCAGTCTGGCTGGAGAGCAGGGTATAACATGGCAAGTGGAGCAAGATGAGGCTGGAAAGTTACTAGGGAACAAATTGTGATGTTTCTTTGCATCATGCTAAGGGGTATCTCTGAAGGCTGTGATTATGAAAAACATCTCTAGATATTGTGTGAAGAGTGGACTGGAGGAGCTCAATACTGGAAGTAAAGAAATCAATCCAGAGGCTTTAGCTAGAGTCTAAGAGACAAATTATGCCTGAATTAAAGCAGTGACAGTGGCAATGGGAAAAACAGAGACATTTTCAGTCTGTGGCAGCTGAAAATCAACAAAACTTGGTAAGTAGACATGGGAGAAGAGGTAAAAAGAGGAAGAAATTGAAGAGGATGCCCGGGCTTCTGGTTTAGACAACTGAATGGAGGTTGGTACATTCACCAAGACACCAAACTCGGGAAGAGAAGTTTAAGACTGGGTAGGGAAAACAGAGCTCAGTTGTTGACAGACTGGGATTGAGGTACTATGGGATGTCTAAACAGACGTACTCAGTAAACCCTCTGATATACCTTATTCTGAAGCTCAAGAGAAATCTGGGCTAGAGACTGAAATTTAGGAACATCAACCCACAGATGATGATAGAAGATGGGAGTGGGTGGAGTTCTCCAGGAAGAATGAACAGAATGAGAATAGAAGAGGGTCCACGGTAGAGCTTCAGGGAATGCCAGCTTTTAAGGGTTAGAAACGAAAGTAATTCAGAAAGGAAATGAAAGAGGAAAATCTAGATTCTGTGACATGGAAGATAAGGCAAGAGTTTTTCAAAGAGGAGGAAGTGGTCTCCTGTCAAATACTGCCAAAGGGTTAAATAAGATGACGACTAAAAAGTAGCCCATTGGGTTTAGCACTAAAGATGAGGTGACTTCACTGAGGGCAGCTACAGTGGAGTGGTGGGCATGGGAGCCAGAGGTCGAAGCAGGCAGTGAGATAAGAAGGTGAAGAACTGGTGACTGTAAGTGGTGATGACTGTCAAGACATTTGGCTGGAAAGGAAGGAGAGAGAAGGCAGTATTTGAAGGGGATTGTGGAGTTGAAGGATACCTGTTTTTTAAATGGAAGATATTTAAGTATGTGTAAAGCAGAGGGAAAGGAGTCAGTAGAGGGGAGAGATGAATGGTACAGAAGAGAGACAGCTTCACCAAGCGGTGAGGTACTGAGGAGGTGGGTAAGGCACTGAACCCAGCACAGGAATGAATGGGTAAGTTTCTCATAACAGAAACGACACTTGTCAGCTGTGACAGGGGAAGTGGGAAGAGAAGGGATTTTATAGGCATAGTGGTGGGAAGTGAAGAGAGTTCCTGACTGTTGGTTTCTATTTCCTCAGTGGAGTAAAAGGCAAGGATCTGCCTGGAATGTTTTCCATTTTTTCTACCTATAGGGTTGCTATGAGTGAGAATCGATGACAACGGGTTTGGTTTTAGTTCTTTTTTTATCTTATAAAGACCACAGAAAATCTGGTTCCCTAGTGCTATGCTCCTTAGAAGCAAGGATGGTGAGACTATGTCTCACATACTTTGAACATGTTATCAGGAGGGACCAGTCTCTGGAGAAGGACATCATGCTTGGTAAAGTAGAGGGTCAGTGAAAAAGAGGAAGACCCTCAACGAGATTGACTGACATAGTGGCTGCAGTAATAGGCTCAAGCATAGTGACTATGAGGATGGCGCAGGACCGGGCAGTGTTTCGTTCTGTTGTACACAGGGCCACTATGAACCAACTCGACGGCACCTAGCAACAGTGGTATTCTCTTTCATGGCACCTGATAACTGCTTACAGTGCAATGTGTTATTATGTAATTATTTTGTGTTTACTTGTTAATTATCTAACTCCATTATTAGATCACAAACACCAACAAAGAAGAATCCATGTCTGATTTGTTCGAGATTACATATCCAGCACCTAAAAGTACCCAGAACACAGATGCTCAATACGTATTTGTAGACGAATGAATAAAACCTCTAGTCTGAATCACACATCTGTCCGTCCTCTGTTCCCAGGGACTGTTTAGATCCTACTGTTACTGTTATCATGCTCTATTTTTTTTTATTACAGCCAGTTGTGTCTAGGTCTACCTCCTTCACTGTATCTAAAATCCTGAGGACAAGGACTATGCCTTGCACTATCTCTCAGCACAAATGCTTATTGTTTTTTAACAGAGCAGTGTTTTAAAAGAAGGCCACTCACAGGAGGCCTGGATAAGACAGAATGGAGAGCAGAGATTAGCAGCAAGACGACACCTTAGGAAGCTGTTAAAAATTATCCAGGACGTAGACAACAGCGAGCTGAAATAAACTAAAATGGAAGAAAGAAAACCCACAGAGGTAGAATCTGTAGCACCTGATGACAAAATTCATTTTGGGAGTGAAGGAAAGGAGGGACTCCAAGAGCTTCTAATGATTTTAACATGATTTTTAATAGGGCTTTTAAGAGTTAAGTAAGAAATATAGGAGTAACAGCAGCCCTGGTGGCACAGTGGGTAAGAGTTTGGCTGCTAACCAAAAGGTTCGCAGTTTGAATCTACCAGCCACTCCTTGGAAACACTATGGCGCAGTTCTACTTTGTCCTATAGGGCGACTATGAGTTGGAATCGACTCAATGGCAACCGATTTAATAGATTTGATAGCTGAAAGATGAGCAAAAGTAAAATAATCCAAATTTTCTCCTGTTTCTCAATTAAACTGTGTTTATTTGGTGGTCATTTCCTATCTATGCTGTATCTACCCATATCAAAATAAAAAATATGTGCGCGCGTGTGTGTGTGTGTAT